TGGGCTATCAATCTTAACCTCATTATCTCACTGCATTTCAAACATCTTAGGCATAATAAGGAACAGGTATTTTTCATCAAGTATTGATATGTTGAACTTTCAAGGCTATCTTGTGCTAAACAGTGAAACCTTGTCTCAAAGAAACCCAAAGCAGGGGCTGAAGAGATAGCTGAGCGGTCTAAGTGCCTGCCTGGCAAGTGCAAGGACCTGTGTTTGATCCCCCTACTGCTAACCAGGCATGGTGGTGCAGGCCTGTAATCCCAGTGCTGGGAAGGCTGAGACAGGAAGATCACTATGGGTCTGAGCTGCATATTGAGACCCTGTATCAAATAAAATAAAAATAAAATAACTGAAGCAAACAAAAACCTGCCAAACAAAACCACAAAAAGCAAAAGACACACAAGATGTCATAAATAGGAAGTTGGATATTTCTGACCAAGAAAAAGGGCTTTCAGGAACAATTACCATTGTGAGCATTTTGCCACATCAGCTTTGTGCATGCGAGAAATCGCCTCAGTTACTTGGTGCACTCCCTTTATCATTATGTTTGTATTTTAGGGCAGGGTCTACAGGGTCTCATACTAGATTGGACTCACAGTGATCTGCCTGTTTACAGCCTCCCAAGAGCTGGGATTACCACCACGCCCAGTCTCAATTGCCGTCTCAGCGCGCCCCAGGCCCCAGGATTGAACCCCTAGCCCCTGCACCTGCTTGCAGGCGCTTTAATCAGCTGAACTATTTGGCCAGCCCTCTATTGGTTTATTGAAAGGATCTTAAATCTTTTTAAATTATTTTTTGACCAATTTTGTATATTTTTATTTGGTAATATGAACAACTAATTTGAAGACAACAATATATAATAAAACCACCATTGTTGAATTTCTATCATCTTGTTTAGTGAAATTCTATATTGTTTAATATTTTTATTAATAAAAAAGTAAAAGTACTCTGAGAATATAGGAATAAACAGACTCAGTTTCTCCTATTACCCTCACATCTGTCAAGCAAGTATTCAACCCGGCAGTAACATCAGCCAAATGTCTAAGTAGATGCATTCCTGTTCTGCCCATGGGAGGCATCACAGCCCACAGGTGCAGGGCTCAGGCCCACGAGACACCCTCCCCGGGCCCACATGATGCCAATGCCAGCCACAGATTGCTTCAAGGTTCCCACCCCACCTGCTCAGCTCACACTAATTGGCCAGACAACTCACACCTGCTGGTCAGTCACAAAGGATACAGGTGCGGAGATGCCCAGGAAGCAGCACGGAGCTCCTAGCTCCCATGGGCTCACCACTGTCCATCTGTTTCTCGCCTTACGCCCTTAAAAACCTTCATCTTCCAGGCTTTTAGGAAGGCTCCATCACAGTCCCGACCGACTGAATGGCCGGAGCGATGGACTCAGTCTCGGCCAGGCTCCCCTCTCTAGAGGGGGGCTGAGGTCTTTCCTTCCTTCCAGTGCCCAACCATCTCCCTGAAGCCACCCTGCCCACTGAGGCCAGAAGCAGTCAGCTCCTTAGGCTGTTTATGTGACAGTTTGGGGAGTCCAAGGAGCTCATGAACCGCAAACCAAGAAACAGGGACGAAGACCAAATAGACACTTTACAATGTCACAGGCACACAATATACTTTTCAACAAGAATATCTAAGGAATAGGGGCCGGGGAGATGGCTCAGTGGAATAAGCGCTTCCCTGGCAAGCGCAAGGGCCTGAGTTCAATCCCCGGTTCCGCCAAAAACAAAACAAACAAACAAACAAACAAAGAATATCTAAGGAAGTCCCCTGGGAAATTTCAGGTAAAAATGACATACACAAAAAATAAACAAAATGTTACATACAATAACTTTAAGCAACCAGCAACATATAACAAGCGAGTACTGGAGTCGGAGGTGGTGGCACAAGCCTATAATCCCAGCACTCGGAGGCTGAGGCAGGAGGAACATTTCGAGTTTGAGATCAGCCTGGGCTATATATAAGCTCTGGGCCAGCCTGAACTGCATAGTGAGAGCCTGCCTCATTAAAAAGAAAAGAAAAGAAAGAAAGAAAAGCAAGAATCCTTCTGACCTGGATGCTAACAACATCCTCCTTAAAGAGCAGAGAGGAAATGACAGTGAGCTGTGCTTTTCATGAAGAACTCTATGATGTGGGTTGTTATCGTGTACAAGTATCAATTTGCTGAATACTAAAGAAACGCTACAAACCTAAATTCGGTCATTTAAAATCACCCAGCAGGCTTGCGTCAAGGGCGTCTGGATTACCACCTTCGCCCTAGAAGGTGCCGCAGTTCCCGCACCGCCATCCGCCGTAGCTGCTCGCGTTAGCACAGCGGAAACCTGGCCGGCCCAGGGCCAGCAGCCTGGCTTTCGGACGCAGCGAGGCGTCCTGTGGCTCCCTTCCACCCGGGGCTGCCCAGCGCGGGCGGTTGCAGCGGTCCGGGCATTTGTGGGGAGCTCCTGGAATTGAAGGTCGGGGCAGGGGACGCTAAAAGTCACGCCCCGGCGGGGAGACGCTGACTGCTGTGGCCATCACGGCGACAAGCTGAAGTCCCCGGAGGCTCAGCCACGGCCTCGGGAGGGCGGGCGACTCGGCCCCAGCCGCCCTCGGAGCGGCGACTGGCCCGCAGCCGCCGGCCTTCGCCGGAAGCAGGCCGGCGTCCTCCACCCCTACTTCCTCAACACCCACCTACCTGAGGCAACTTCTGGGGAAAATCTCAACCAGAGTAAAAATATGAGAGTCCTTCAAGTCTGGACGGCCAGATTTGCCTCCGACGCGGGGACGCCGACTAAACTAGCGTAAGCACAATTCAAACTTCCCGCCCGGAGCCTCTGATTGGAGGGATTTCCAAGTACTTCCGGAAAAATGCCCGCCTCTTCCTCTAGATCTGGCTTGCGATTGGCTTGCTACGCGCGACGTTTGACTTGATTGAAAGGTAAGGGGCGGGACCTCAAGACCCGAGGCGCCAAGGGTGGAGCTAAGGGGCGGGGTTCTGCGCTGGTTGGCTCTGTCGCGAGTCTTAGCTCCCTGCAGGGCGGCGAGGACCTGGGGTCGCTGTCTAGGAGGAAAGACCCGGACCCGGCGGGGAAGCCGCCCAAATTCCCCTGTCTCAGTTTTTAGGGATGTCCTTGTGTAATCGTGGAAGTCAGCTGATTGGTTTTTCTGTTTTTGGTTTGGGTGCTAGTGTCCTTTCACTCTGTGCTGAAACCCAGCTCTTTATTTTTATTTATTTATTTATTTATTTTTTTAGTTTGACAAAATTTATTGGTTATTTTAGTAAAGACATT